ACGGGGGAGCATCCCACGGCCCCTCGGGCGGGCGGGGGGCTCTTTGCGCAGACACCAGAATAAGTGTATTTGTTTATGAAAAAAAACCAAAGCAAACAACCAAAAACCACCGACGCTGGCGGGTAGCTCGTTTCGAAGGAGACTTTGTATCCTTCTGTTAATTGAGGAAGTGCGCTTGCCGCTGGCAGCAGTGCCGGAGGGGCAGTAGTGTTGGGGGGGGATTACTGCCGAGAGAGTACAGTCCGTTCCCTGCAGGAACAGTGGCATATTAACTGCGTATAGTACGGTCCTTTGTCGGAGCAGGTAGTTCCTTTTCACTACTGATTCCGGAACAAATGAAGATTAATAGTGGTAATTAGGAAAGCGTTTCTACTGTAAGCCTAACTTGTAGTTTGCTTTGTGTATTTAGGTGGGCTCATGGTGAGAACTTTGTTACTAATGCTTTCCCTTTTCTCAATGTCTTAGAAACTTGTAAACACATAAGCGAAACTTTTATGTTTGCGTTGTGTTCTTGCATTTCTGCAGCAGCTAGATCTGCATGAACAGTGAGTTTATCTGCTGTAAAGTCACAGTTCTCCTCAAGGTTAGTAGCAAGAAAGAAATAGGCCATAACCATTTCTGTGCCTAACTGATTTTTGTCTGTAATTTATATGTGACAGAAATTTCACAAGAGCACAAGCCCTTAATTGGATTGTAGTAGTGATTTTGTGGAGGAAAAAAAAAAACACCCAACAAACATCCTATATTGAGGACTGAAGTTCTTCAGCTCTATGTTTGCTGGCAGTGTGAGTGAGGAGGAGAGTGAACAGGTGCTGTGTTCTGCATGGATTAGATACAGCAGTCATCTGTTTTACAGCAGAGTGCGTATCTGCAGACATCAGCTTCAAGGAGAAGACCGGCCAGGCCGTACTGACAGGTGGCTGATGCTGAAGGTGGACTTTGCAGATAGGAGACAAATGTTAACTAAGAAAACTGGAGTGTACGGAGTTGTACTATGAAAAATTTCTATTGCAGCTAAGTGTGTTGCACGCTTCGGTCTGCGCAGGCATTCACTGCAGATAAACAAAAAGAACCTTACAGTTGATGTGCATGCTTTTGTTTTTCAGACCCCGTCAGCTGTCCAGAAGATAAAACAGCTTCTTAAAGATAAACCGGAGCATGTAAGTATAAACAGGGCCAACCTGTCGATTGTACTAACCTCTTAGCACAGCCCATGATTGCAAAGCATTTCTGGCTAACTTAGAGGTTGGAAGTAAACACTGAGGTGTTTGTTAGTGACGGCATCTCTTTTTCAAAAGGGAATATGTAAGCTTATTCATATATCGAGTTTGATCTCTTTATAAAATGAAATGCAGGAAATACCTGACTGATGATATTTCGTGGTACGGTTACTTTTGAGATGGAAAAAGTTGAAAATCTCTCAAGCTTCAGAATATTTTTTAGCTATTATTGATTAAGTCTTTTAGTATGGCATAATGTGACTTCTGGTAGGGAAAAAGATCTTCAGCTGTTGATAGGAAGACATTATGAATTAAGTTCTTACAGGAATTCTCATTGTGACGTATATAATAATAAAGATAGATTCATACCCATTGGAAAACATCTAATTTTAGGAAACTTAACAGACAGTGTATTTGGTTTTAAGTAATCAGCACTTCTCCAAATAACTGATTGAGCTTGTCATCTTTTCTTCTTGAGAAAAACACCCAGAATCTTGCTTCCTAATCATTATCAAAGCAAGCATTGTATTTTCCTATGCAGGGTAAGTATTATTTCAAGAAGAAAATTTATCTTTTACTTTCATACAAGGCCCATTGTTTCTTTTGCTTCCTGCACATCTGCAACTAACTAGACTCTTTGTTCCAAAGTTTTAAGTCATCCTAAGGAAGCCTGAATCCTGTGCCTTAGCTGGTCAATCATCCCCTTGCTATAAATGGTGTTTGCATTTCACGGACTACTATTTGTAGCAGTTCCTGTACAGAAAGGTGTTTAGTCTGAAAAAGTCAAACGCTGTTTGTCTGAGATCCCACTTGATGACGGGCAATATGTTTTGATACATTTGTATTATATCATCGATTACAGATGTAAATAAAGAGATAGACAGTATGATTTTCCTCTTCAGTTCTGAAGCACTGGTGTGTGGGAAGTGGTACAGATAATTTTGAAAGGTTCTTGTGCACCAGTAGTTTTGTGTCTCTTTAAAACCTTTTTTCAGTTCTTCGCTTACACAGATGCTGTTTCTGCCAGATTTGTTGGACACTCTGCATGTTACAAACATGCTAACTTGGTTGGCTTTTAAGGTCTTACAACACTAAGCAGATAAACACACTTGATTTGAGGAGGAATTTGGGTTTTTTAAGTGAAACTGGCAGCAGAAGTAATGGAGAAATCAAAGTACATTTTTCAAAACTTTGTTTTGAAGCAAGTTTTCTCATGGTGTCATTACAGACTTCTGTGAAAATCTACTAACTGACCTTGTTTTGGCCTCTCAGCTTTCATAATTACATTACTGTCAATAATTTTAACATTGTGGCTGAATCAGTATCTGGGTACACTTTAATTTGAAGTCACAAAAATACCTATTGTCGTAATTCTACTGTCTTTATGAGACCAAACACCTACAGGAA